ACAAAGGAAGCCCTGAGCTCAGCAGCAGGAAATTAACAATCAGAAGAGATAAAGAGAGGCTGTTATTTATTGAGCTCCTACTGTATGCTCTTGCTACGTGCTATAGTGATATTCGGGGTCTGTGCAGAGAAGTGGAATGGGGGTGTCTGGTGTCTGGGCAAGGGTAGCCTTGAAGAAGGAGTCAAAGAACCCATAAGGAAATCTGTAGGTGGCACAGCTAGCAGGGTGTGTCCAGAAATGGGGGGGCAGCTTCAGGACTGAGCTCTGGTTGGCAGCAGAACCTTCTTCCTCAAAGAGGGCCCAGAGCCCTGGACCTGGACCACGCCGCCCAGGGCAAGAAGGGGGAACACTGAAGGGGTTGACGGTGAGGTGGGTAGGGCAAGGTGACCATGACTTAAGGTCTCTGGGAGGGAGGTGATGGTAGGGAGGAAGAAAAGGCGGGGGGCAGCTCTTGGGAGTCTGGAGAGGACCGGTTGCTGCGAGGCAGAATGGGGTTTCTGTTCTGTAGGAAAGGCCCGACTTTTGGGGCCTGGATCTACCGAAGAAAGGAAGTCGCGAGTTTCTGGGAGCCAGCAGAGGAGGGGCTGGGGGTGGGGGTGGGGGGGCTGGCCTGGAGGCGTTTCCGCTCCCTGAGGAGCGAGCGCCAGGCTGTTCTTGGCTCCTCACTGGAGCCAGTAATCTTGCAGCCGCGGGTGACCTGGATGCCTGGCATTCCAGAGCCGCTGGGCTGTTCAGCTCCAGCCTGCCCCCCGCCGCTCCCTCCCAGCTTGGCCCCGCGCCCTTGGCCTGCTGCTGCTTTGGGAGGAGAGAGTGAACACAAAGGGAGACTGGGACGTGTGGGTAGGGGGCCCCAGTTTCTCTAGGGGAAAGGCACATCCCCCTGCTCCTACTGCTCACCCTGCCTTCCTGCCCCCTCCCGGCTCCCCTGTCTCCAGGCTCTTCTCTCCCTGTGCCCAGAAGCTTCCCTCCCAGACAGACAGGTCCATGGTTTTATCCTGGTGGCTAGTGATAGACAAAGCCTGAGGACTCCCAGCCCCTGCCAGGGCCTTCCAGGTTGTGCGAGGTGGCAGGAAGCTACTAGAAGCAGAAGGCAAGGTCCTTCCCCTCTCCTCGCAAAAGCTCTGGAAAGAAAGCCAAGCGGCTCTTCCTTGCTCCATAATAGCCATGAGGAAAACATAGAATTCTCAGGGAAAATGTCTCTGGTTGACATCGCTTTTTCCCCACCTTGGGTCAGTCAATGCTAGTAGAAAAGCATGATCCTTATCGCCAATGCCATCTGCTTTTTCGACTAGGCAGGCCATACAGACCCCCAGCTCTGGTTGCTCTGACCAGGCCCTGCCTTCCCTGGGGGTCTGGCCTTGCGTCCTGAGGCCTGGTTCTCCTAGCCCGTCCCCCATGGGCAGTTTCCTCTCACCTGGGCTATAAGACAGTTACGATATAAGACTGGGATGAGATGCAGGCCTCCTGCAAGTTTTGTAAGCTGTGAACCCCCACAGGGAGAGGTCATGTTCTCTAGGTCCAAACTCTCAGCCGACTGTTCTTGCTTCCCTCCTCCACCCCACTCACGAATGTTAAGCCAGCCCAGCATGAACTGCTCAATTTCAATACTGAGCTTCCCCATCTTTTCCCTCCACACCAAGGAATGAGGCCAGCTTGTGCCCGGCCTTCAAAAATCCAGAGAGAGCCAGAGCTGACCTGGGTCACCTGTGTCTGCCCTCTTCTGCCTCAGTGCCCTGAATAAATGAATCCTCCTTTCTTCCTGCCCAGCTCCCAAGCCTTCCAGAACCTGTACTGTCCAATACAATAGGTACTTAGCCACATGTGACCCAAAGATCAAAAGGAATTAAAATTAAATAAAATGAAAAATTAGCTTCTCCCTCACATAGCTACATTTCAAGTGTTCAAGAATAGCCACACATGCTAAGTGGCTGGCACAGTATAGAACAGTTCCGTTACAGCAGAAAATTCCACTGTGCTGGTCGTCCTACGAGAGAGAGAGAGAGAGAGAGAGAGAGAGAGAGAGAGAGAGAGAGAGAGAGAGAGAGAGAGAGCGCGCGCGCGCGAGAGCGCGAGCCTCTGAGTTCATCAGGCAAGTCCCAGAGCCCAACCCCCTTCTGCCTTCCAGCAAGGCAGGCAGCCCACACACTCCTAGGGGACGAACCTGGGATTCCCAAGGGGATTTGTGTGTGGGAAGTGGATTTAAACCTAGAACATCAGCTGAAGGGCTTGGTGGTCTGCCTCAGGCTGTGCTGGCCCAACTATAGGCAGAGGGTCTCTGAGCTCTGAGCAGAGTTCCCCTGGGCAGTTAACAAGATAATTTAAAAGTCAGGATAGCTGGAACCTCAGACACAAATCTTCGGATAATAGTCATTTTCATTGTGCTCCACAATTTGCATTTCTTTATGAGCCTGGTTGCCCACATTTCAGTGGTCTCCCCGGACCATGGAAGGTAATTTAGCACTAAAGCGGGGTGGGGGCAGGGAGGTTCATAGAATGAGCCCTGGAGCCTATTTTGGGAGGCCTCTAGGTATAGGGCCTTAAACCATAGCCTGAAGCAGCTTGCTGCTTTAGAGCCAGGCAGAGCTGGGTTCCCATCCCAGCAGCACTGTTCAGTTCCTCTGTTTCCTCGCTATCGGTTGGGAGGTGTGACAAATCCTGTCTTGAGGGGTGGAATAGGAAGTGTAGATGCCTAGCTTGTGGCGTAACAAATGGTGGTTCTTGTCCCGGTTCCTTCACTCTCTCATTTGAGCAATGACCATGTCACAGTCCACCTGAGCCTCCATTTTCTCATCTGTAAATGGGCATCACCGTTACAGTCTATAGTGTCATCATGAGACTTAAGGGAAATTGTGAAGGTATTTTAGAAATGGTGACACCTGGCACAGGTGGACAGTGTTTGTGCTATGGCAAGTCCATGTCCTAGCCGAGAGGCAGTATAGCCCAGTCATCACTGCAAGGGCCCTGGTCTGGCGCTGCCATTTACTCGTAACTAAACCTGAGCATCAGTTTCCTCGCCCATAAATGAGGTTAATAATGGTAATACTAGTAACTCCTAGGGTTGCTGAAAGGACATGACTCAATCATGTTCATCCAATGGTTAGCACGGAGCCCGGCACGCAGAGGGTACTCAGTGGAGCCAGCTAGGGTGATCGCTGTCACCGACCAAGCCTCTCTCTCTCCCTGCAGGCTATGAGCAGCAGCAGGAGCAGGAGAAGCTGGAACGGGAGATAGCACTGCTGCGCGGTGCCATTGAGGACCAGCGTCGGCGTGCGGAGCTGCTGGAGCAGGCTCTGAGCAACGCACAGGGCCGAGCTGCGCGAGCTGAGGACGAGCTGCGCAAGAAGCAGGCGTATGTGGAGAAAGTGGAGCGGCTGCAGCAGGCACTCGGGCAGCTGCAGGCTGCATGTGAGAAGCGTGAGCAGCTGGAGCTACGTCTGCGCACGCGCCTAGAGCAGGAACTCAAGGCCCTGCGTGCACAGCAGGTGAGCTGGGAAGCCCTGTGGAGGTTGGGCAGCACCTGAGGGCAGTTGCGAAGCCTCTGGGGGCTCCTGCACAACCCAGGCTGAGGGACCCCCTTGGAAAGCAAGGGTGATCTCTGTTCCACCCTTGAGGCAAGGCCCCGCCCAGCCATCAGTCTCAGCAGAGGCTCTACCACTTGGCCATATGCCGATCTCAGGGACTCAAGACTTGGGCTTCTGTCCTCAGCAGCAGCAGGGGTTGGCGTCCGTGGTCTCTAGAGAAAGCAGCTCAGGAGCCTTGATGTAAAAGACTAGCCAGCTCTTTAAATGTTTCCCCAAGATCAAGAGGGAAGAGAATCACCCAGATCCTAAATCTTTATCCTTATTTTGGGCTGTGTAAATAACTCTGGTGTTTACGAACCAGATGGAGTAAGGTGACCACAGAGGTAGGGTGACCAGACCTCCTGATGTGCCTAGTTCTGTCCTACTTTACACCCATGATCTCAGTGTCATTATTAAGAGCACCCCTTCCCAATTTGGAGCATAATATGTATGGTCACCTGTGCAGAGGGCGACCTAATCTTTCTTATGCCCTGGGCCATAGGATTCTGAGCATGGATGTGAGGACTCCTGCCACCTCCTTTGTCTCTGGGTGGAAGCAGGGTGTGGGGAGAGTGGGCTGCGAATGGCTGAACAAGCACAGGCATAAGAGAGTCCTAGTGTGGGGCCAACGACCCGTGGCCGCCTCACTCCAACCTCCATCCTTGACCACAGTGCTCCTTGCTTTGCAGAGACAGGCTGGCACCCCCAGTGGTAGCAGTGGCAGTGGTGGGTCCCCGGAGCTCAGTGCCCTGCGGCTATCAGAGCAACTGCGGGAGAAGGAGGAACAGATCCTGGCACTGGAGGCCGACATGACCAAGTGGGAGCAGAAGTATTTGGAGGAACGTGCCATGAGGCAGTTTGCCATGGATGCGGCCGCCACAGCCGCTGCCCAGCGGGATACCACTCTCATCCGACACTCCCCCCAGCCTTCGCCCAGCAGCAGCTTCAACGAGGGCCTGCTCGCCGGAGGCCACAGGCATCAGGAGATGGAAAGCAGGTTCGGCACTGCAGGCCACGCCAAGGCACCTGAGGTGGGGGTGGGGGGGTAACCATGTCCAGTCTCTGCCATGTCCTTCATCTCTGACAAACAGGCTCCTTTCCCCACATGTCTCAGCACTCCCTTTAATTTCTGAGCTGACCCCGTGTGTTTGGCAACCAGGCATTGTACACATGTTCTTTCCCAGAGATACCAACTGAGTCCTTGATTTACCCAGGAGACCCTGGCTGTGGAGGTGCTGGATGCCATCCAAGGCTCAGGGCCTCTATCGGCTCCCCTTCCCCTGTGTAAATCAGAGATAAGACTTTCCCACTGAGTCTATACCATGTACCACCCAGAAGGAATGTAGACTAGGTCCCTGGCTTTGGGGTAGCCAGTATTTTCTCTCCAAAAATAATCCTAGAGGCCCCTTGAGATTTCATTTGACCAGTGTCTGACTCAAAAACAAGCACATCAACTGAACTCATTTGATTGTCAACAACTCGGGGGTATTTCCCCCCAGGACGGGGGTTGTGTCATGCTATCATCAGATGAGTCCAGAACCCACCCCTTGATGACCTGCCTTTGCTGGTATGAGGGGTGGTTTTCAGAGCATCCAAATCCAGAGCTGTGATGACGTTTTTGAAGGCCTCCTCAGAGCCCTGCTGCAAAGAGGAACCAGCCTGTCTGTAGGGAGGTCTTTCCCTAACTTTTACTACGTGGGAAGTGTGGAGGCCACTGGATCTGTGAGTCTAACGGTGTGGCCTTTCCCCTCAGGTTAAAGGTGCTCCATGCCCAGATCCTGGAGAAGGATGCAGTGATCAAGGTCCTCCAGCAACGCTCCAGGAAAGACCCTGGCAAGGCCACCCAGGGCTCCCTGCGACCCGCCAAATCCGTGCCATCTATCTTTGCAGCTGCAGCAGCAGGGACCCAGGGCTGGCAGGGGCTCTCCTCCAGTGAGCGGCAAGTGGATGCCCCTGCCTGGCTGGCTACAGGTGAGCGGGGGCTGGTGGGTGGCATAGGTAGAATTGCTCTCAGGCCTTTCCTCCCAGAACTGAGGCTCAGGGGAGCAAGGGCTTCCTCACCTCTTGCCCCGGGAGCCAGCTTATAATCTGGCTTCAGTGAGCCTACAGCCCACAGCTGTCTCACCAGTGAAAAGAGGGGTGCTGTAGTCCCCCATCTCCATAAATTCCACCACCCTCAGCCCCAGACACGTACCATCTAAATAAAAAGAAAGCTTCCTGTGCAGATGCATCTTCTAGGCAAGCCCTCTCCACTCCTCTTCCTAAGCCGATGCCATACAAATTTGAGAGTCCCTGCTAATTTTAAGATTTAATCTACAAAGAAAGGTTCTCCCACTCGAAACGTTTGGAAACCAATCCAACCTGATCGTTGTTCCCATTTGGAAACAGGAGCATTTAATCTGAGTCAAAGTTCTTGCAAATCAAGAGCGACCCACACCACCTTGTGTCCCCAATAGGTACAGTTAACTTGGGGTGTTCTTCATGAGGCCCACAAATAACGATCAACCTCCTGCCTTTCCAGCAGACAGGGCCCCTGCGGAGGAGCCCATGGCCACCACTGCCCTCCCTGCCCATGCCAAACACGGGAGCAGAGACGGGAGCACCCAGACTGATGGCCCCCCGGAGAGTGCTACTGCCTGCCTTGGACAGGAGCCTGACAGCCTCCTGGGGTGCAGCAGTGGCCAGCGGACAGCCTCACTGGGTAAGTCCACTCTTCCCCGGGCTGCTGTGCCAGGCAAGGCTGAGGGTGCCCTGGGGTGTGAGCTGGAGCACCAGGCCCTTCCCAGACCCCTCCAATTCATTGCCCCCACTCCACGGGGAGCCCTGCTCAATGACAGGCCAGCAGGGTGTGTGGCCCACCTCAATAGGAACAGGAGGGCTGGTTGGATGCAGGAAAAGAGGAATGGAAAACCCTGATTACAGACAGATCAAGTTCAGAAAGAAAGCGACTGCGTGGGAGGTACTTTATGTCCTCTTTCCTAGTCTTCCTAACATATTTAATTGCCAATCTAAATATCTAAGATAATGGAGCTTGGCATGTTATCCTGATGGCACGCTCAAGTTAGAAGACTTTGTTTAAAAAGAGTCAGAGTCCGGAAAGGAGACATTTGAGAAGATGCCATTTAAATTTTTTGCTCCCTTTTCACATTAGCCTTTGCATATTTGCTTGTGCCTCACATCTCAGAAAACCACAGGCATGAAAAGAATGCTGCAGCCTCCCTCCCTCGGGGCTCCCCACCCTCCCTCCAAGCCCTCTGAGGAGTTCAAAGTCATGAACAAATGCATCTTCCCTACTTGAAGTTGGTGGTCTGGGTGGACAGCTGAGAGGGAGCAGAACTGTGCTTGGTTGGCCAAGACATGGGAACCTGGGTACCTGGGCAGCTGAGGTGGGAAAAGTAGGTGAAGAAAGAAATGTCCTATCTTCAAAATGTACCAGGATTTAAGAAAGCAATCTGGAAGTACTCACTGGCCTGTGCCTGTGCTCTTTGTCTCTCTCCAGACTCTGTTGCTACATCCAGAGTCCAGGACTTGTCGGACATGGTGGAGATACTGATCTGAAGGAGGTGATGCCATGGGGACTTAGAAGCATTCCCTGCACTCCTCTGCCACTCTCGGCCATTCCAGCAGCCCCCTCCAACTGCTGCTTACCCACTTCCCCCACCGGGCACTCATTCCCACTGACTGTCTGGCCCCAGGAGCATTGGAAGGATGCTGCAGGGGCGAGAGATAGATGCTGTGAGAGCACCTGCACCCCAGAAGACCCTGCTTCTTAGCCCCACATTCTTCCTGGACCCATGCAGGATGAAGACTCAGCCTTTACCTGCTGCCCAAGGCTTGCTGCTGGGGTAACAACTGAAGGCTCAGAAGAGAACTGAGCCCTCTCTGCACCCCCAGTTGGCACTCAGGCAGGGAGGGAGGGGATATGTTGGTTTAGAAGGCTGATTTCCAAGGAGAGCTGCCTGTGGACACCAGGTAGGCTGATCCAGTAATCAAGTTGGTCATGGTGTTCTCTGGTTAAGTGTAGTCCTAGCCAACCTCATCTGCTCCTCAGCTACTCACTGCCTCCTTGGAATCACTAAGGCTTGCATGTTTTGGGGGCTGTTGAAGGTGTTAGTCCTGCAGAAGCCACAGCCTCACCCCCTCACTTGGAGTGGGTGAGGGCTATTTAAGTGGACTGGGATCTGCTGGGCAGTTTGTATATAATTCCCTTTCTTGTGGAACAGAAGATTGAAGCATGCTGCTTCCGACTTGTCCCCCCATTCTGTGCACTCATCCCTGCTGCCATGAGTCCTGTAAGTCCTGACCAGCCTCCTAGTTATCTCTCTTCTCAAGTTCTTGGCCCGTGGATTTTGATACTGATTGATCCACAGGACAGTGGCTGTCTTTTCCTCCCATGTTGAGCCCTGCTTTAAATGCCCATGGGACCTCCCCCTCCATTCCCAGCCTCTTGAAGTGGCTCAACAGCTCCTGTCCCTGGGACATCCTGTCAGTTTGGTTACAAACCCTGAGCCAGATGAAATGAGCCACCACACACAGACATCTGCCATGGTGGGCTTCCCAGCACCAGTTGAACAAAACTGGAGAAGTTGCCTTGTTCTTATCAGAGTCTTTGTTCTCACCTGGAGGAATTGAGAGAGGAAGCTATGCTGGTGAAAACTAGTCAATGAGCTACAAGATGTGACTCCAGTTGTTCTTTGGAGGGAGCCCTCCGTCACAAAACGGCACCCATGAGGCTGGCTCCTCAAGCTACCCGTACCCAGCGCCCTGAAGCAGGACCAGTGCTTGGAATCAGTGGAGTGTCCACATGGTAGCCTGCCAGCAGCAGTGACGTTGACTTCTGGTCTTAAAGAGCCCCCCAACTCAGCCCCAGGAGCAGTTTGTCTTGACTGTTTTTAGTTCTCCTTGAATATTTGTGTTTTTTCCTTTCCTGTTTTTAAGTTCTGTGTGTGTTATTTTATTCCCATGGTTCCTTTTTGAACATTTGCATTTGCTGGACAATTGCATATTTTTTTTTAATCCTCCTACCCCTCTTAAAGCTGAAAAATACATTTGGTTCATGTGCATTGTTTACAAAGCAAAAAAAAAAAAGAGAGGAAAAAAAGGCAAAAAAATATTGTGAAAGGAAAAAAAACACAACTTAATATATTTTGGATTAATATTTGGTGTTTCTTTTAAAGTATTTTTGTGCTGTGAACGTTTTCTGCCAAAGACCATGATGTGTGTCTGTATGTTTAAGTTATCGTAAATATTTAAAATGTAAACATGGCTGTTTTGTTATGCCACCCTGTACCAGGATTGCTGCTGCATTCCACTGGGTATAACAGTATTTTAATAAAAAAGAAATAATTAAAAGTGGTGTCTTTACACAGGTGAGAGAGACTGTACTAAGAGGGAAAGCAGAGGGGGTAAGGATTTGGGGATCCACCCGTGTCATAGTCCCTGAACTACCCACACTCCCTTGCCCCATGCTCCTTTGTGCCTTGGCTCTTACATGTTGGCCAAAGCATATCCATAAACAGCCAGTTCAGGGTCACCACCATTTCTCATACTGAGTAGTGAAGGGTGCCAGTGTCAATATTCCTACTGGGATACCAGCAGGCAACGTAGATCCATCCATATTTGCAAGGCTAGGATGACACACAGTATGATCTCTTCAAGGATCACCAACAACTGGTGGGAATTTGGTGAGGCTGCATTAAGGAGAGTTGGAAAGATAACTTGACTTTCTTTCCACTTTTACAGAGAACAGTCTCTTCAGGCTGAGAGGCTCTGGCAGATGGGCAGCCTCCCCAGGTAGCTTTGTCCTAACTAGTTTTGGCCACACACTGGTTACTCCACAGGAGTGGGTGTCCAAAGGTGGCTTTATCCTTCCCCCACTCCTATCTTTCCTCCACCCCCACCTAGCACAGGGAGTCCTTGTCTGGGACCCTCCAAGAGATGGTGCCATGTTTGCCCTCTACCTGGGCACATGTATGGCATATTCTTGGGCACTGCCTCTCTCCCTTGCTGTGGCATCACCACTCTTGCTCCATGCCCAGGAGAGTATGTCACTCTAATCCATGAAAGAGAAAACCATTCTCAATCTCAGGTGTTCTCATACCAGAAACAGTGCCTGCCTCCACAGGCCAGTCAGCACACTGAGGTTCCCAATCAGGATCTGCAGGCTGACCACCAGGCAGCAGGCAGCCAGACAGGCTGTGGGCATCTGATGGAAATAATCACCCCCTGCAGCTGTGGGTGAAGCATTTTCAGGGCAGGGGTGGGGACTCAGCAACCATGTTGATGAGTAACCAATAGCATCTTAGAGAAAACGTCTTCCTGAACCAGACTACCTGCCCACAAGAAAATGGAGTCAAACAGAAGAACGGGGGACATTTAAGGACCTTTTTTTTTTTTTTTTTGCAACTTTGCAGATGGCAGTGGGCCCCAGCAGGTGGGGAGCTCTCCATGCAGGATTCCTCACCCAGCACAATGCAGAAGCCACAAACACTACCTTGTGGCCACACCTCCACCCCAGCCCTCTCCAGCCTGCCTCTGCTGCCTGGACAGCATCCATGCCCATCTTACTCCTAGCAGGTCCTGGATTGGTGTTTGCTCTGTGGATAACCTGGCCAAGATGCAGTGGTCCCTGAACAGCTTTTGCTGTGTATGACTGATGCTCTAAGATGCAAGCCTGGTCCTCGGAGGTGGCCTGAATAGTGGAACTCTGCTCCCACAGCTCTTCCCTTGGACACACCAGCCCACAGCTATGTTTGCTAAGATGTGGTGTCCAGACAAAATGGCAATGCCTGTGGCAGGGCGTTTTAAAAACTGGCTTAGCAAAGAGGTTCTAATTCACCTCCACCTGTGTTCCCCCCCCCCCCCCCGCCCCCCCCCCCCCCCCGCCCCAATAGAGCCCTGGGAAGGCAGCTCAGACCCAGGTACAATAAGCCCTGAGAAGAGTGCCTTCCCATCCCCAACAGCTTTGAGCAGGGGCTGTCAAAGCGTCTGTGCCTCTTTCAGGAGCTAGTCTGTCAAGAGTCACTTTACTATTTGTGACTATTAGATGGGGGGAATAAAGAAGCCACCCCCAGCATGCCCAGCCCATGTGCGTGCATGTATATGTGTCTGTGCACACGTGTGCCTGAGCATGTGTCAGAGAGAAAGATGTGAGGGGTGCCAGTATCTTCCGGCTGATGCCCTTGCAGGGCACTGGGGCTCTCTGGCCACATGGTCACCAGTGAGTCTGAGGAGCCATTTCTTCCCAGTACACTTTGTAATTCAGCCTAACAAAGCTCCGGAACTGGTGGAGCAACTGGTGGAGCTGCAGACTGGTTGGGGAGGTGGGGGGTGGGNTGGGGGCCAGGGGGGTGGGCAGGCCTTGGGGAGGAAAGTGTTTGCCCATGTGCCCAGGCACCTGTGATGATGGGGCCTGGACCATGAGGGGGCCGCTCCCTGGGTCTCACAGGTGGCTCTACTGGGCCCTTGGGAGGCCAAGTTTCTCTGCCAGGGACAGCCCTGCTCTACCTGCTCAGTGCTTCCACTAACAGGGTTGGGAGTATGGCCCAGGAGAAGCCCCACACTGCCACTGCCCCAGAGGGCCAGAAGGCTCCCTGTAAGTCTCCAAACCCTCTCCTCTCTTTCTCTCCTCCTGATTAATCATTAACGCTTTCCCTGGCTGTAACATGTGTTAGGCTCAGAGGGCTTGGAGAAAAGTGCCGTGATAGAAGCAGCATGTTGAGGCCTAGTCTCCGGGAAATGGCTGAGACCACTCCACTGCCTCCAGGGACCCCAGCTAGACAGGAAGTTTGCTTGCAGTGCCACTATCTTGTCTCCTAGCTCAATGAGGACCTGGCCAGGATGCAGTGGTCCCTGAACAGCCCTTGCTGTGTATGACTGATACCCAGAAACCCCAGCACCAGTGTCTTTATGAACCTGCCACATCTAGATCAAACACACCAGGAAAGCACCCCTGCAACCAAGCTCCCAGCATCCTTCTTTTCATTGACATAGAATTCTCATGCCATTAAATCTACCCTTTTAAAGTGTATAATTCAGTGGTACTTTATGTCACAACATTTATATTTAGTCAGTGGTCAACCATGGGTCATCAACAAATGCCCCACCAGTGAGGAGTATGAACGCAGTCAAAAGTGGTATTTGATCTGGTGCATTCACGCTACCAGCTCCTATTTCTCAGGAGGACACTGACTTTCTATAGCGGATAGTCTCCTTCCACCACACTTCCTCTGGGCCGCAAAGGGAGCACTCTCTGCTCTGGGCTGGAGTCCTCCACCATCTTACCCCAGGGCTGCCAGGACAGAGGTCCTGGCCTGAGGTTCAGGAAAGAGGCCCGGAAGCCCTGACTCCCCGCCCCCCCCCCAGCACCCACTGTCTGCTCAAGGTTTTCCAAAGTCAAGGAGCATTGGCGGGGATGGCTTCCCCAGTTTTGTGGGGCCTGAAGCTTATATGATCTGGGGGATTCCCTTTAAGAAAAAGATTGCAAAATCGCAAATACAAAATGAGGTGTAGAGCCTTGGAAGGGGCTTGTTACAGCAAGCGCGTGGAGGCACAAGCTTCATTAAATTCACGGTAGATCTGCATCTGGGCATTGGGCAGCATGGTGTCTCCCCAAAAGAAGGAGGCTCTGGGAGGCACCCATGACTTGGACTCATCCTGGTTTCTCCCAGGTGGTGCTTGGAGATGGAGTTTTTGTCCGCCTGGGGTGGATGGAATGGCTGCCTCGGGATATCTACTCTAACCCTCTCCCCTGGGACAGAGATACTCACACCTAAGGGGCTTGGGGTTCAGTGGGGAGATAACACTAGAGAGCCTGGATAATAGGACTGACCAGCTTGCCAAGGACCAGACCTGAGGCAGGCCCATGTCTACACCTTGCCCTCATCCACCAAGCAAATCTCCAGCCCCAGCCAGAGTTTGGGGGGCTGGGGTGGGGGACATCTTACAGTCTCTGGGTGCCCTGGAGAGCCACGCCACTCGATTGTGGCAGCGACACATTCTCCTCTTTGCGGACTTGTCAGCTTTCGATTGTGGGCGGGCCAAATGTCACCAACTGTCCTCAGATAAATACCTCTTGTGAGTCCAAAGGCTCGTACCTGGGGCGCATTCCAGGTGTGGTTGGGAAACAATGTGGACATTTCCCTGCACAAGTTTGCCTCTTCTTGCATCAATTTGGCCTTCTTTTTCTAGCTCCGGGAGGCCCTGCCCAGTCTCTCCTCTGCAGCCTTTGCTTGCTCAACACAATGCGCTGTGGAAATCCTCATAGCATGTTGCATCGGCAGCAAAAATACCAAACTCTCAGCCATAGAGTGACTGACTGTTCAAGTCACAGCTAAGGTTTGCCCTGAAGACGACAGTAACCTTCTTTAATTTAAAAATTAAAAAAAATAGTTCTCCATCCCAGAAGCTTTTCTCTAAGGTTTGGGTCCTCTGCAAGACTGGCTTCTCTTTACTCTAGCCCACTCTTCTTTAAGTGGCCTTGTCACCTTCATTCATTCATTCATTTGTGTTACAGATGTTTAGTGAGTGCCTGCCATACATGGCAGGCATTGAGGGTACAATGATGAAGAAGGCAAATTATCTGTCCAAACAGCTTCAGGTTCCTATCATCTGGTTATTGCATATCCCACAATGAGCCAAGCATAGGGGTGCTCATAAGTGTTGGCTAAATGAGTATTCATTTACCTGTCCCCTTTCCTGGCTCTGGTTTCCATCATCTTCTCATACACATCATCTTCTCATACAGCCATACAAATGACGGATGGATGATTCTGAGAGGACTGTGGTCTCTCCTACCCCCTGGCCTTTGCACATGCCATTTCTTTTCTCTGGAAAGCCTTTCTCATCTCTTTTCTTCTCTCTTGGCCTATTTAATTCAAAACTCATCCATCAAAATCCATCATGAACGTCACTTCCTCCTTGCAGCCTGCTTTCTCCAACTTCCTTTCTGTTCCCCTAGACTGTGAGAGGGAGGAGAGGCAGGGTTCAGAAGCAGAGGGAACCCTCGTTAGCAGACATTAGTCTGTGGCTCTGCTTGGTTGAGAGGGAGCAGGTAAGAAGATACAACTGACCTTTTCAATTATACAAAGGTGACTCCTTGTCCCTGTGCTAGGGTCACAAGTGGCCCTGAACACTGCCAGGACAGTAGCTCCTTAGGATAGTCTGCCCCTCCTCTTTGGTTAGACCCCCACAGGTCACTGGTGGTGGAGAACAAAAGAGATTCTGTGGGTGGGGTCTTGAGGTTAGAGAAGGAGAAGCTGAGCCTGAGGGCTTGGGCCAAGGTGGAGAGGAGTGGCTTAGCACGCAGCTGTGGGCGTGTGAACCCAGAACCAGCCCTGCCGGATGGCTGGCCC